CCGGCATGACTAAACACCAAGGCGCATGGAACGCTGTGACCTTCCCCCCAAAGTGGTACCTATTTATCTACTTGCAATTTCTTGCTTTCGAACGGCTAGGTTGGCAGGAGCTGGAACGAGAGACGGGAGCTCACTCCGTCATTCGGCACACTCGGGTCTCGAACTGCTGAACTACTGACCTTCCACAGCCTGCAGTTCAGCGTCTTAACCACTTGAGCCACCGCAGCTCCTTTACTTTACTTTAGCTGAATATAAATATAAATAAATATGAATATAAATGACTGACAGACCTTATAACAGAGAACCTTAGGTTCATAATTCCTCTCTCCTCTTTTCTTCTTCTTCGGCCACCGACTGCCTGTCATCTTGGCAGTTTACAATCCTTTCTCCCCATTCCAAGACCTCCCCTTCTGCTCTGTCAATCACAGAGTTTAACCCCTTCCTTGGGCTACGCCTTTTGGAATCATTACATGGAGCCTGGGGTGGGCGGGGTTTGGGCAGGGGAGGGACTTCAATGGCACAGACTCCACCTTACAAAGCAGCCATTTTCTTCAGGGGAACTGATCTTTGTCGCCTGGAGATCCCTTGTAATACTGGGAGATCTCCAGATACCACCTGGAGATTGGCAACCCTATGTGTACAAAGACTTTGTCGGGCATCCTCGAGGCCACGTGCCCCTGCATTGGTCGGATTGGTAAGGGGGACAGTGTGGCCTTTTGACCACAGAACACTTTCCTAGCACGAAGCCCCGCTGAGTCGCCCTGAGTATCAACAGGGGATACCAACTCTGGGTTGGGAAATTCCTGGCGCTTTGGGGGTGGAGACTGGGGAGGCCGGGGCCTGTGGAGAGGAGGGACCTCAAAAGGGTATGATGCTGTAGCCATTTCCCAAAGCGGCCATTTTCTCCAGGGGAACTGATCTCTCGTCATCTGGAGATGGGTCATAATTCCAGGAAGTCCCCAGGCCAGCTCCAGAGAGCCAGTTTGGTGTCGTGGTGAAGTGCGCGGACTCTAATCTGGGAGACTCGGGTCTAATTCCCCATCCCCACTCCTCCACTTGCAGCTGCTGGATGACCTTGGGCAAGCCGTAGTTCTGATAAGAGCTGTTCTTGAAAAAGAACAGTTTCTGGCAAGAGCTCTCTCAGCCCCACCCGCCTCACAGGGTATCTGTTGTGGGGAGCAATGCTCCCTCTAAGCTGTGGAGTCTTGCGAGCAAACATTCCACTTTGTGAGCTCCTGACATGAAAGTTGTGAGCGAGCTATTTGGCTGCTGCATCGATACGTTTGCTCTGGAGCCATCCCTTCCTGAGCTAAGGCAAAAAAATGTGTGAGCCGGAGGCTGAAAAACTGTGAGCTAGCTCGCACTAACTCAGCTTAGAGGGAACACTGGTGGGGAGGGGAAGGGAAAGGAGTCTGTAAGCCGCTCTGAGACACCTTTGGGTAGTGAAGGGCGGGGTATACATCCAATCGCTTCTTCTTCTTGTATGACTTTTAAATCCTGCTTTACCAGAGCTGTGCCAGAAAGCTCTGTCACTTCCTCCTTTGTATGTGGGGTTTTTTTTTGCCATCAAGTCAGGGCTGACTTATGGTGCCCCCTGGTGGGGTTTTCAAGGCAAGAGACATTCAGAGGTGGTTTGCCATGGCCTGCCTCTGCGTAGCAACCCTGGGGTTCTTGGGTGGTCTCCAGTGTTTCCTCTAAGCTGAGTTAGTGTGAGCCAGCTCACAGTTTTTTAGCCTCTGGCTCACACATTTTTGTCTTGGCTCAGGAAGGAGAGCTCCAGAGCAAACTGATTCATGCTGAGGCCAAATTGCTCGCTCACAACTTTAAGGCCGGTAGCTCACAAAGTAGAATTTTTGCTCACAAGACTCCACAGCTTAGAGGGAACATTGGACTGGTCTCCCATCCAAATACTGACAAGGGTCGACCCTGCTTAGTTTCCGAGATCTGGGTCACATTGGGCTGGTCTGGGCATGCCAGTCGTTCCTCTAATTTGATTCGGGACTGGTTTCGAGAGCCAACCCTAGCACGGCGGAACACTCCGACTCAAATGTGTTTTCCTTTCCCCGTACTGTCAATGGGGTGTGAAAATCTCTCGCTCGTACCTCTTTATTTTCATGTCTTTCAATGCACAATCGAAAAGGGGCTTTACAGAATGCTGGCATAATTGAAGGCTGTCGCACAATTACAGACATTTTAGTGGCTCAGTTAATCAGTTCTGCATACATTTGCAAACCCAAGCTACGTTCCTGGAGGGAAACAATATTTTCGTTGCCTTTTAGAGGGTGCACCAGAGACATTGCAGAAGACGTGTTTCCTCTTGCGTGTTAGAAATAGGGAAATGCCTGTGCGAAGAGGGCGTCTGCCACCAACGGTAAAGGTAAAGGTTCCCTTGCTCAAAAGCCAGTCGAGTCCGACTCTAGGGTTGCGGTGCTCATCTCCGTTTCAAAGCCGAAGAGCCAGCGCTGTCCGAAGACGTTTCCGTGGTCATGTGGCCGGCATGACTAAACACCAAGGCGCACGGAACACTGTTCCCTTCCCACCGAAGTGGTACCTATTTATCTACTTGCAATGTCTTGCTTTAAGAGCGCCGTTTCCGAACCTGCCCGGAGCAAAAATTAAAACGTTTCCCCTCGCCGTGAACCAGATTCTAATTAAATGCCGTTTGTCCATATTAATATACACGGGGAGGAAGGGAAAAGAATGGCTGTATCAGCAACAGGGCCCTTCGAAGTACCGAGCAACATCGTCTGTGACCAAGGAACGCTTAGGAAGTCCCCACCTTCAAAAGCATGGGTGGAAACGCGAGTGACTTACTAATCAGGGAAGGGCCATTCCTGACTCTCTTCAATCACGCCCCACTGGAAATTGCTGCCGCTTCCTCTTTGCGGACTGCCAAAATGAGATGCAGCCAACCATTAGCACAGACATATCCATCACAGGAAAAGAAATGCTGGGAGAACCGGGTTCGATTCCCCACTCCTCCACATGCAACTGCTGTTGTTACCTTGGGTCAGTGACAAGTTCTCTCAGAGCTGTTCTCTCAAGGGCAGTCCTTGAGAGAGCTCTCTCAGCCCCACCGACCTCACAGGGCTTCTGTTGTGGGGAGGAGAAGGGAAAGGAGTTTGGAAGCCGCTCTGAGACTCCTTCGGGTATTGAAGGGCGGGGGGGGGTATAAATCCAATCTCTTCTCTCTTCTTCTTCTCTTTAGTTTTTTAAAGTTCAGAACTAGTGCTCCTGAGTCTCGGGTTGCCAACTGGATTGGGAAATTCCTGAAGATTTGGGGGTGGGCCTGTAGAAGACGGGGTCTGGGGAGGGCAGGGACCCCAGCAGGTATAAAGCCCATAGAGGCCACCTTCCCAATCAGACATTTTCTCCAAAGAAACTTATTTCTGTCATCTGGAGATCAGTTGCAGCTCCCTGAGTTCTCTACCTGGAGATGGGCAACCCTACCTGAGTCCCAGCTTTGTCTTGGAAACCAACGGACAACGGAAGCAAATAATTTCAGCTCGTTGCAGTGATGCGTTCCGGGCAGCTACTGCCTATCAGGAGCCTCGTCCCGACATTCTGAACCCTATTCCCGATTCCGTGCTCATGTCATAATGCTATTCCTGCATTCCAGTGCGTCCCATATAGAAGAAGAAAAAGAAGAGATTGGATTTATACCCCGCCCTTCACGACCCGAAGGAGTCTCGGAGTGGCTTACACGCTCCTTTCCCTTCCTCTCCCCACAACAGACACCTTGCGAGGTGGGTGGGGCTGAGAGAGCTCTTTCGAGGACTGCCCTTGAGAGAACAGCTCTGAAGGAACTTGTCACTGACCCAAGGTCACACCAGCAGTTGCATGTGGAGGAGTGGGGAATCGAACCGGTTTTCCCAGCATTTTTTTCCTGTGATGGATATGTCTGTGCTAATGGTTGGCTGCATCTCATTTTGGCAGTCCGCAAAGAGGAAGCGGCAGCAATTTCCAGTGGGGCGTGATTGAAGAGAGTCAGGAATGGCCCTTCCCTGATTAGTAAGTCACTCGCGTTTCCACCCATGCTTTTGAAGGTGGGGACTTCCTAAGCGTTCCTTGGTCACAGACGATGTTGCTCGGTACTTCGAAGGGCCCTGTTGCTGATACAGCCATTCTTTTCCCTTCCTCCCCGTGTATATTAATATGGACAAACGGCATTTAATTAGAATCTGGTTCACGGCGAGGGGAAACGTTTTAATTTTTGCTCCGGGCAGGTTCGGAAACGGCGCTCTTTGAGACGCTCATCACAGAAGCAATTTCCTTTATTGTTTCATGTCGGCTGAAGCCAGAGCTTCCTCCCCGCCCCACAATTCCTCCACCCGGACCCTGGGAAGGGGCGCTCCTTCCGCGGTTTCCGCTTTGACCTTTGAAATTCGCATGGCTCTTGGGGAATCCAGTCCGACAGGTA